AACAAATCGCCGATGAAAGGGTTGGGCCAAATGTGTTGAAGACTGCGCCGCTTTCGGGTTTGTAACGCGATAAGATCGGCTCACATCAATCCCGGGAATATAATGTTATCCCTAAGAACGTTAATCAATTAATTACATGCTGTGCATACACGGAGGGATCTACGGAAAAGGATTCGCACCGATAAAGGGGTTGCCTGTTTCCTTTTTTCTGATTAATTTCCGACATTTCCCTAGGCTATCCGGGAAATTGGCTTGGTCCGGGAAATTAGCTTGACCAGTGGTCAGTTCGTGGGCCAGTCGCGTGGCTGATATTAATATACAAATAAAATATTGACCATCATCAAAGGGGTGAGCAATAGATCACAGGCAGGGGGTTTGTTGTTCTAGCATGGGATTTTAAGATCAAGGAATCAAAGAAGATGAAAGGGTTCCTTCTTGATGCTATATGTGAGCTCTGCAAGATCAATATCACAGTATTTTAAATGTGTAGGACTAATTTACTTTAGCGATAAAGGCATTTATTCCTAAAAACCACGCAATAATTGGCATAAATCCGGCAATCTTAATTTATCAGAAAACATATAAAGATTGCATCACTGCTCCCCCAAGGCAATAATAATTTATACAAATCTCTTATTTTGCCGCTTGGCGACAAGGTTGTTGTGGATGCTATTTTAAGAACCCCTATATCTGGGCCACACAACCGAAGATTTGCGCGCCAAAAAGTCGAACCACTTGAGAAGTCATCCGAGGCTCGTAAAAAACTGAGAAAAAGGAAAGATCTTAGCTGCCTGCTGTGTGGGAACCAAATCGGTCCGATTGCATGTGACAAGAACAACAGTATTTTTGCACTGCCCGTCGGACAGTTTTGGAAGGACAGTTGCCGGACGGAAAGGAGATCAAAACTGTTTCATTGTGTGTGCCACTTGTTTTAGTTGTGTTGTTGCACACATTGTGACCCAAATTGCTCTTTGGCGAAAACAAAACCGTGCGGAGTCGCAAGAAAGGAACGGCCATGTGCCGAATCCTGAATAAATGACCATCCACTTGACCAGGACAAAGGACCGGCCGCTGCTACTATTCAAATTATATAGAAAATTGCCAGTAAAACACAAACTAATTGTGTTTGCCAATACAGTTCGAAGCTATCGAACTATCCGAAGTCGGGAGGGGGTGCTGTGGGAAACCTTGCCAATCCAAAAAGAGACACATTGGAGTTATAGAACGAAGCCTGGGAAACTCAAGTGGCACTCAGCGTGTGCTCTTTGATGGGGTCTCATCGCATCACTTTTCTTTCGCATGGCAGCAATGTGGCAGGCAGATGAGCCCTATTCGGATTCCAATCTAATCTTTATTTTCGCATCACCCTGAACTGGCCTGGAAACCCCGATATGTGCGACAGGCATATCAAAATCGAATTGAAATGCGCACAACTCATAAAAATATTTAAATAATCATAAAAGTCTGGGTGATTTGGAGAATCGAAACTTGGATACCCCTGAGCCAAAATAAGCATAATAGAGAGAAAGAAAAGGTTTGAGAATGGGTGTTTAATTTGTATATGAGCATTTATTTAAATGATCAAGAGACTTTAAAGAAATTCTAACAAATAGTGTGAAAAAAGAGTGTTTCAAGGAGAGCTGTGGAAAAAGAATTATTCGTATTTGTAAAAAATTTAATTATTTTATTTTAGATTTTTGTATAGATGAGGACTATGTAAACTCATATGGTAATACTGTTATGCCTGAAATGTTTCAACAAAAACTAAAAATTATGATACCCCTCCAAAGGGTAGGAAAATACATGTGCCATATCTAAGCATGTCAAGAATATTGTTCGCTTATTAGAGGAACGCAAACTACGACTGTGTGTTGATCTACATACGGAACTCGCCGCATTCCCCACTTCCCCATGTTGCCACACAATACAAACTTTTGTTGTACCTCCCGGCCGTTAAAAATATGTAGGCAGAGTGACGGAACAACAGGGGAATAATGTTGATTAGTACTTCCTGAGGCTGCTGTATAGTTCAGATATGAGCGCCAGTATTTCCATATCATTCAACAATGCTATAAAAAAATCATTTACATAGAGCTCTGCCAACAAACAAACAAACAACTGCAACAATTGGAACTTGGGATGTCAGGAGAACTTGAACTCAGCTTATCGGGAAACTAGAGTAAAAGAAACCTTTTTTATGTTGTACCTAAAACTAACGTATTTTTGGGTACTCTTATTTAGTATTAAACAAATCTTTCCTCTAACGTGTCAGATTTTATCTGGAATTGTGGAACAATGTTTCGTTTTCAAAATGCAGTCGCACCAATATTGAAGTCATATATAGGAAAAAGTAAAATGGGTATTAATAAACGATTAAAACGATTTTACGAATAAGACCGACAAAGCTTAAACCAAGCAATTACGGCCTCCGCCTTCCTGTTGATTACGGTAACTTGCTTTCCCACAAATCACATGATGACACAACACCCACCCATGGAGATCCAGGCCCATTCAGCACTAATGGACAATTGATTTCCTCTTTCTCAGCTTTCTTCCACATTTAAACTCTGAACCCGGCAATTGATTGTCCGGGAGAGAGCTTCATTTTACGGACAATGGACCGGGACCATATACTATATGGGTGTGCGTTCTCTAACATCGAAATGAATTGCTTATTTTGACATTTATTAAAGCTTTAAATAAAATTTATGCAGAGAATCAATTAGTGGGGCAAGACCACAAAAGGCGAAGTGAAAAATGAAAGAAGAACGCGACACGCAACGTAAAGTCAAGTAACGAAATGTATCTCGAAGATACAATATTTCTCACAATCAGTTTGTAGACGAGGAAAAACGAACAGAACGCGACTAAAAAAATACATAAATATAACAAAAAGGCAAAAAGACAACAAGGAGCTACAAAGACTGCAAGAAATCACGGCAAAAGGAGAAGGCAGCGAAAGATAAACAGAATACAGATCGAACTCCTCTTTCGCCCCCTCTCTTTCCCACTGAAACGAGTCCTGCACACGAACACACACTAGTACGAAATAAGGTTTTGGCGCAAAAAAAAAACCAAGGCGATTCCCTGCTCTTCACCTACTTCTTCGCCAGCGCTGCACTTCTCGCCTTCTCTTTCTCCCGAGAAATCTCAGCGCCGCGCCTTCTTCGTCCTTCCTCCTGCCCCCACCCTCTCGATTCTCTCTCCTTCCCTCTCTTTCTATCTTTTTCTGAGCTCGTGTTAAGGAATTTGCGCGCGCACGTTGTGCCCGCTCCTTCTTATCCTTCCCCCTTCCCTTTCCCCTTCACACACACTCACGCAGCAGGACTAATTTCGGTCTCCCTGCTGTTTATATCCTTCGGTCCTGGGCCTCAGCTGATCAGCTGATCGAACATATGAGAGAGGGGACCGCTATCCCTGTCTAACTGTTTCTTCGTCCTGTGTCCATGGCTATTTGTTCTAATCAGTATCTGTGTGCGGTTCCTCTCGTCTCTTCCCACCTTATGTACTAAGAGATTTCCCCTGTCCACACCTTTTCCCCTGAGATTTGTTAGTGGTGGAGGGAAGTGTAGGGGTAATATGTAATCAAAAGGTATTTTTGGGGCACTTCCTAGGAATGCAAAAAATGGTATTATATATTGGGGCCTTATTTCATGGAAAAATTATAAGCATGAGAATTTATTGATCATAAACTCATTCTCCATTGTTGATATTATATTAGAAGTCTGCGGATAGGGTCAGACTTTTCAGATAATTTATGAGAAATTCAAAATACAGCTATATTACTTAATGACATACTTGTTTTGTGGTAAATATTTCGATCAAAAAATAAAAATATATTTATATGCAAAAACATAATGTTCATTATTTTACATTTCGTTACTTTATGATTAATGATTAAAACTTTTATCTTAAATTGTACAGCCTTCTAGACTATTAAGTCTTATAAATTTTATTGTTGTGGAGGAATTATGTTGAGATATACATATGTACTTGCTTTAATGAAAATAATGCAATCAAAATATTAAATGTATCTAAAAGAATTAAACTTTCCCGTTGAATTTTCGAAAATACTCCTTCTCTTCCTTAAGGATAATCATATTTAATAGCAATAATGTTGTTTTAAAGTTCTTTAAATATAAAGTGTATTAAAAAAATTACCCATGTCTTGATCACCTAGAGACATCCAATTGTTGGCTCCTCTTTGCACCTTCTTCTAATTGCATTGCTTTGTCTGCCACACATACATTGGCAAACCGGGACCGCCCAGCCTTTAACCCATTCCTGCCCACCGCACCACCCTTAAACCTTTTGCCAGTGATTTGCAATATGTGCGCGCGCGCGCAAAAGTATCTCAAACGCTTTTTTTCGCACACTTCACAGGCTTTTTAATACACAGACGGACCAAACCAAAAAAAAAACGATGCTCAAAGCTCACTTCTTGGAATTTCGATTTACAATTTAGCTCTTCACATTTTGTTGGTCCTGTGTTATTTTTTTTTGTTTTTCTGGTCCCCCCGCTATTGTTGTGCTCCATCCCCATTGAAATTGTTGCTGCAATTTCTTTCTCTGCAGCCTATTCTCATTCTTTATCAAATTTACCCACACACATGTGTGTGTTAACCAGGCGAGTGTGAGTGTGCTTTTTGCATACGTTTTTGATTTCTTCGTTTTGCCCTTTTTTCTGCTTTCAGATTCTGGAGGCTACCGATAGCACGGTGGTATATGAAATAATTTCAAAACTATGATTAAACTGGGTAAAAGAAAGCTGGATAAGAACTTATTAAAAATCTATGGACTTTTGGGCATTTCCCCAAGATCTTTAAGTACCATCACCTTCTGGTACCATAACATAGCATATGGCAGCAATGTTCATATGTTTAGAGATTAAAAATCCAACAAAATAATGTTTCTTAAATTCTACAACCACGTTTTTAGAGATTAAATTGTTAATTGTAACCAGATATCTAAATTTTGACCCACTGTTTTCGCACCGCTTACTATGAATGAGATTGGGTCTGAGCTTTTTCTTTCCCTTTTCCCCTATGCGCTTTTTTAACTTGTTCAAAACCACTTTATGATTTCTGCGTCCTTTTTTGTTGTTTTTTGCTGCCCTCCTTGTTGGTTGTTTTCCATAAAGATGATCCTCTCAGATCTTCCTGCAGCAGCAACAACAAAAGCTCTCCAAGGGAATTCAGCGGAATGAAACCGTAGCTCATTTGGTAGTTTCGGCTAAGACTCGTCAAAAAAATCATTCGCTTTTTGCTTAGTTTGAGATATTGCGAATGATATCAGCTGGACTTCCTTGGCTGTCCCTTTATTTGTTTGCTGCAGATTTTACAAAACATACTCGGACTGCAGCCCATGGGTGTTCGTCCCCCTCAAAAATCCCTCGGATCCACCAAAATGACTCCCGCAGGGCCTCGGCGCATATGTAACTCGATTTCTTCTTTAACTTTGCCGCGATTGTACACAAACACAAAGCTACAGGCTATTTTCCTTAAGACTAACTTTTCTGAACAACTGATAAAATTTATATTCCTTATTCAGTGAATTACATAAATTGGTTAACAACTATTAGGGCTGTACGCACAATTTAAAAAAAATTATATATTGCTTTGCTAAGTCAAAATTACATAGCCATTCTATTTTGGAAAAAAGGCTAACACTTTTAGAACAACTCACCAAAAGTGATTGCAGGCATCCAATATGTATCTGCATCCATCCAGTTCATCTTATGTAGTTTCTCCTGTAAATGGGTCCGTGGCTGGAAGCTTTGCTCATTTAACGACATCGGCGTCTACGTCTGCAGAACACAAAGGAGACACGCCCCCCGACCACAGCCGCCCTATCCAGTCGATGCGGCGATCATATGACTGTGGCCACTACCTGCTGATTTTTCAGTAGGAAGAATACCGGGTGGGGGCAACGGGGGGGACACAAGGAATGCGTGGATCTCACATTATTACCTGCAAACGACACAATCGATGCCGCCTTGAAATTCTGCTTAAAGATTCGCCGAGATTCTTCAGTTCCCGCACTCTTCTTCTTCGGAGGGCTCCACCATTTCTTCACATATGTTCGTGGCTTCGGCTCCAATACTGGGGACTTCGGCTCCCCTTCGGGAACTACGCGTCTGGGTATAAAAGCTCGCGCGCCAAAATCAGATGCCTCCATAGAGCTGGCGACCACCAAGGCGCCTGCTTCTCCTCAGGATTCTCGAGGTATTTGTGGTTCCTTTGCTTGCGAAACGAGGGGAAATGTAGGAGAAAGGATTTATGGGCTGGGATTCTACCTGTTGCAGAGAACGCTCCAAAAGGCAGAGATTCCGAAACCCTATTATCCCGATTTTCTTAGTTTTTCCAATTTCCTTTTTTCCTTTTGCACATGGGTTTACGCGCCGTTATGTGTTGGGTTTTCGCCCCATCTCCTTCTCACTTCTATTTCTTGGGAATCGAAGAACCGAAAGGGAACTAAGAACTCACTAATTTCTCTCTCGCTCGCATCAGCTGTGCGCCCGCTCTCCCGCTCTCTCTGCCGCGATCCTCGACGGGGCGACACTTATAAAAACCAGCTGTGCCGAGAGAGCCGGCACATTCGTTCTCCGTTCGTCGTCGAGTCAACAGCTCTTCTTGTTCTGCCTTTCGGTTCCTCGTTCGGTGACCTGAGTTTGTGCGGTTCATAGTTATTATCAACATACAAGCCCTCGCACAACCACACACCAAACTAAAATACAAAAACATGCTGAAACGGACACATTAACAAAAAAAACCATCAACAACTAAAATGCAATATTAGCCAAAAACCAAAAGGACTACCATCCAAAATTCTCAACAAACCAACTGTAAATGAGTGAACTGTGACCAACAAAAAATTGTGTTTTAGCAATTTTTCGGCTACAACAAAAAAGACTCACTAAATCAAAAAAATTCAGTTTTTCGAAACCCCCAAAACACACAACATAAAACCAACAAAATGCTGTGGGAAACAATTGTGGAGGAGACCAACTGCAGCATGGATTGCAATATCAGGTAATTATACCATACCGCCCAAGGATTAGCAAACAACTATTTTGCATCAGGAATACCAGTTAAAATACGCGATGAAAAGTGCAAGTTCAAGAACAACAGCAACAAAAAAGGAAGTCGGGGCCGAACAAAAGTAAGAGTTTTTTATACGCTCTTATTTTTTATCACGCTCGGCACGTTTACTTTTTGCCCGATTTTTGTTGGCGCTCAGCTGTTGTTGTTGTTCGCTTGCCGTTTTTCATTCATTAAACCGGCTTCCGCGAGGCTCCACAAAAAAATACAAAAGGCCCCAGAAAAAATTGTTTTGTCCGACAGTCAGTCATTTTTTGTATTTTTCCTTTTTTCCCCGTGTTCTTTGCGGTTCTTTATGTTGTTGATTTTTTAACATCGCTGCGCTTGCGTGACGTGTGACCCAAAAGTCAAACTGAAAAGCAGATGCAACGAAAAAGGAATTCCGCTTAGAGTACCGCAAATGTTAATAAGAATCAAGAAGAAGAAGCATAGGGTTCCCTAACTTTAATTTTAAATTCAACAGTGTTAAGTATCGAGGGCAACCCTTTTACAATTACCCATACTTTTTTATTATAAATTCGAAAAATTCTAATATTAGAAACAATTTCAAATATTATAGCCTAAATAGCTCCCAAATTGAATTTCACAATTCTTGTTTAATTTCTATTTCTTCACCCATTTACAACAACCCCTCTGTATATTTTTTCGGGTATTCTTGTTGTTTTTACACCACCAACGCCACCACCACCACTTCGTCAGTATTTTTAGCTGGGTTTAATGACCGGCGAGAGTTTAGGGAAGCAAAAACCAGCTCTCTTTCTCATTTCCAAACAGTGTACTAATCCTCCCCCTCTCTTTATTGCTCTTTCAGTAACACCAGCAGTTCCAGTAATATGAAAAAAATGAGTGGATCGCGTCGTGCTCGCCGTTCCCTGGAACTGATGAGCATGGACCAGGAGGAGCTGTCGTTCTACGACGACGACTCCGCGCCCCAGGATCAACAGCGGTCGGCCAGTCCGGAACTGATGGGTCTGCTCTCGCCGGAGGGTTCGCCCCAGCGTTTCCAGATCGTCCGCCAGCCGAAGATCCTGCCAGCGGTTGGAGGAGCCAGCAACGATGTCTCATCGAACACACCGGCCCGCAGCTTCCGTATCTTCAACAGCCTGTCCTCCACCTGCTCCATGGAGTCCTCCATGGACGACGAGTACATGGAACTGTTCGAGATGGAGTCGCAAAGCCAACAGAGCGCCCTGGGCTTCCCCAGTGGCCTGAACTCTCTGATCAGTGGACAGATCAAGGACCAGCCTGCGGCCAAGTCGCCAGCGGGCCTGTCCATGCGCCGTCCTTCGGTGAGGCGGTGCCTCAGCATGACGGAGAGCAATACAAGTACCAACACCCCACCACCAAAGACCCCAGAGACTGCCCGGGATTGCTTCAAGCGCCCGGAACCGCCAGCATCGGCCAGCTGCTCGCCCATTCAGAGCAAACGCCACCGCTGCGCCGCCATTGAGAAGGAGAACTGCCCCGCACCCAGCCAAATCACCCAGGTGACCACTAGCCACCCACCTCCGCTGAGGAAATGCATGTCCCTGAACGACGCCGAGATCATGTCGGCCTTGGCCCGCTCCGAGAACCGCAACGAACCCGAGTTGATCGGGGACTTCAGCAAAGCCTATGCCCTGCCCTTGATGGAGGGACGTCATCGGGATTTGAAGAGCATCTCCAGCCAAACAGTGGCCCGCCTGCTTAACGGAGACTTCAGCAATGAAGTGGCCAGCTACCGGATCATCGACTGCCGCTATCCCTACGAGTTCGAGGGTGGTCACATTGAGGGAGCCAAGAATCTGTACACCACCGAGCAGATCTTGGAGGAGTTCCTCACTGTTCAACAGACTGAGATGCAGCAGCAGCAGAATGCCGAGTCGGGACTGAAGCGCAACATCATCATCTTCCACTGCGAGTTCTCATCGGAGCGTGGACCGAAAATGTCCCGCTTCCTGAGGAACTTGGATCGGGAGAGGAACACCAATGCCTATCCGGCGCTGCACTATCCCGAGATCTATCTGCTTCACAACGGCTACAAGGACTTCTTTGAGTCGCATGTGGAGCTGTGCGAGCCACATGCCTACCGCACCATGTTGGACCCCGCCTACAATGAGGCCTATCGCCATTTCCGCGCCAAGTCCAAGTCCTGGAATGGCGATGGCTTGGGCGGAGCCACCGGTCGGCTCAAGAAGTCGCGTTCCCGACTGATGCTGTAGGTGTACAGTTCGTTATCTAAATTTTGGGTGTTATCGTATTGTATATATAGACGTATAGGGGTATTTATTTCAAGCTGCTTTTAAGTTGATTTTTGTTGATTTTCATTTGTTAATCCGTAGATTAAGTTTCTCGCACTCGCAGACACACCTACCACTCTCTCATTCATACAAACAGACAATTTCATTTGGAATTAACGCTTTTGTTTAGTTATTATTGTTTATTATGGATTCGGCTTTAGTTCAATTATTTAAGCACTCTAGTTCAAATTTTAAAGATAACCATCATAACAAGCAAACGAAAAATGTGCATTATAATCTAAAAACGTGAGGAACACTGTCATTTAAATTTAAGAGGACGATCCCGAACAGACTCCTTAATCATTTGTAGATGATAAGCAGAACAAAATGGCTAAAAAAACACAAAAACAAAAAATATTAAACACAAAAACACACGCTCATCAAATACATCCACATCTTAACTTAAGAAATATTATTTAAGAGTTGAAAGTTGAAAACTTCTGCTAGGTACAATTTACGCTTATTATTTGTTTATTTTTATGTAATCCGTAACCGAACACGCACCCGAAACGCAAACGCATACAAGAAAAACAAATATTTTACCATGTAATGATTATTATTTAAGCAAAGCTTATTTTTGCATCAAAAAAGGCAATATTATTGAACAAAGACCATCAATTTTAAATATACTTAATACACGACTAAATCAGAACTGAAATCACTGGCATTTTTATCATTCGAAGGCGCGAAAAGAGCAAGATTGGCGGGATTTTGGGAGTCTATGGTTTTCCTGGAATTACAACTTTGAATTTGGCGCGCAGTTGAATTTTTTGAAAGCCAGATGGCGCTGTGCTGTCTGCTGTATAAAATGAAGTGAGTTTAACAGCAGCGACTTTTTTCTAACTGTTATACATGTTGTCTGTTCATTTTATTTTTGTGTTCAGTTTAAATTAGGGATGGTCACGTGATTAATTTTTGACCATGCAATTGAAATTTATAATTTGTTACATGTTTTCTTTACCTTCATATTTATACAAATCAGAATTTATCTATTAAATAAACGGATTTGTCCATGTAAATAAATTAAAATTGTATTTTTAAATAATTTTAATGATTTTTTATTGAATTTTTTTTGCAAATCTAACTAATAGTTTTGTTTTCTTAAATAAATTTGTTATCTTTTTTAAAGCTTTTGTTTTTCATGTTGGCTTTAAATATAAAAATGCTTGGATTGAAAATAATTAATTTTTTTAATGAATGAATTATTTGTTTTTTAATTAAAAGCAATAAAACTTTATCGAAGTCCGCATTATCTGATTTACTTATTTGGAGTTCCTCCCCATTTATGCCATTTATCAATTCATAAGCTGATTATTTTCTGTTTTTGCATACGTATGTACATCATCATATTTGCTGATTCCCGTCCACACCCATTCAGCTTTCTCTTCCTCTCATTAAATCTATAAGAGCATTAATCTAAAGAAAAATATGGATAAAATCCAAACGCGGTGTGTGGCAATTAGCCAAAGGCAGGGCCCTTGCTACGAAAAGATTTTCGAACTCAAACCTACTTCCATGCCAAATTAACCCACTAAAAATGTACTTTTTAGCTATAGTACAAATAAATATATAACTTTTTTATGATCTTCTGATCTTTGTTTAGTACGAAACTTGTAAATTTATGAAAATAAGCAAATGGTAAATTATATTAAAAATCAGATGTCAACCAGTATGATGTATGTATAGTAGAAAAAAATATTTAGTAGTATTAATTGTAATCTTGCGTAAACGTTATTATTATTATAATATTATGTATACAAAGGATTAAATATTTTTTGGTGTCAAAGATTCAACCATTTTAAGAAGTAAAATTAAATGAATTAATATTTGACCTAGAAGTAAGCCGAAAACCCCGCATTGCTTAAAGGGTTAACCCCCTTAAGCCCCCTCCTGTGAGCCAACATGCTGTGTTTGTCTGCAGTCGGTTTGTTATGGTTTGTTTTTTCCACTTTTCGTGTCCTCTAATCTGCGGAGCTTCCGCAACGGGGGCTGCCCAAAACGAGGGTCCGGTGGGTGGTTGAGTGGGTGGCTGAACTCTAGGGTCGAGTGCCTGAAGTGCTGCTGGCATACAAAACAGAAAGAAATGGGTTAATCAGCGCAATTAAGGTCAAAAACACGTAGTGACATCTCTTCGCGATGTATTTGTGTGTGTGTGTGCAATGTGAATCAAAATTGCGCATACGCCGGGTAAGCCCTGCCATTATTTCATTGCAATCTCCCGCTGTGTTTTTCGTGTGGGCCACACATGTGCTGTTTTTTTTTTTTTCGTACCTCTCTTTTTTACTATGCTCTATGATATAAAAAATAAAGAATTTTGGCTTCTCTGCGCCGACGCCAAAGCAGCGATTCAATCTCTAAGCCGTCGACGTTTTAATGCTCTCCGGTTTTTCTGCATTCGTATGTGTGAGCGGTGTAACCACGGGCTATAAGATAAAAGCGCCGAGCTCAGTAAACTTTAGATTCGCGTCGACCGTCGAACAGGTCGCATTCGGTCCTCGTCTTCGTTCTCGTCGTCCTGTGTGTTTTCCTGCTTTTCTGGCGCTCTAAACACGGTTGGTTCTATGAATCTATCTTTCTATGTCAAGCACCTCAAAAGTGCAACTTGAAAAGAATCGGACAATAACGCCAAATAACGCCGAAATCACGAGACAGTAACAACGCACACAAAACATGTACCGAAAAAAGAACAAAGTGACACAATTGTGTTAAGAACACAGCACCAAAAAAAAGAAACCGAAAAAAAACAACCAAAATTAAGAGAAAACAAGTTTCAAGTGCTGAACTCTGCACCATAAATTATCACTTGGCAAAATGATTTGGTGTAAATGAATTTAAATTATGTAAATGTAAATTGTATTAAAATACAGTACAATAATCCCAATCAAAGCAATGAAAACGTATTACTTGGATATACACGGAACATTCTTAAATCAGTGTAAATCATTTGTTATGGTGATAAAAACAATAATTTGAGAAGCGTAAAAATTTATTTTTAGAGTGAATGATAAAAAAAATTAAAACAATAAAAGAATTATAATTTTAGTAAGGAATAATTAAATAAAAAATGATTTTATTAACTCTGCCTAACAAGGCAGAATATAAGTGCTAGTATTTTGACCGCTATTGTATATACTTTTAAATTCGAAGGGATCAATTGAAAAGTCAATGTCAGAGGAGCACGTGTTTGACCATTATGACAAATCATAACAAGTCATTAACTGAGTTTAATTTAATTTCGACAAAACACTTTTATTGCTTTTCAATAAGGAAATTTATTTGCATATTTTTAATGCAATTTCCTGATTTTATTCTTTATTAAATAAATTAATGCAGTGTTCCTTTATTAATTGGATGGTATTATTCCATTAAATAAGTATAAAGATCGACGGAAAATTTTGTAAATCAATTAGGTCATTTTCTGGTAGTTTTTTTAAATTTCTCCTTTATCTATTTCCATCGATATTAGACCCACTCAATATTCGGCTATCATACCCATATGCTAATCTTTGAAGTTCATCGGCCGCACAATTTACATTTATTTATATGCAACCGAAGAACTAAGAAAGCCGAACCAAAAGAACAACTTTTGCATAATTAAGAATGAAACAAAGAGAAGCGCAGAAAAAATAAACTAGCAAGACGTTGCAATCTGGTTTATCCAGTATAAAGAAATATGTATGCAAGTTTTCTTTTTTATTTTCATGCGATGTTCTGGTAGGGCTTGATCTAGGCTGGTACTTTGGTTTATGGTTATGGTTACTTTGGCGAGTAACTTGAATGCACATAAAGTGATTCATACCAAAAAAATGAAATACACTCAGAACTTAACTATTTAAAGTTTAGCTTTAATACATTACACCCTTACAATTCAATGAATGCAAATCACACTGATGTCGTGGGATTTTTGATTGATAGTTTGAATAGGAGATTCATCGCATTATTTATTGTCAATAGTTGGATATATATAACTTGCTGGTAGAAAATCTATTTTAGGGAATTGACTTATATTTCATTTGCACATCAGCTGATCAACCATATAAAACTCTTTATATTTTAGTACCTCAGGCAAGGGTACAATCAACTACATCAGGTAGCCGGCGCATAATGCCAATTGTGAGGAGAGTCTCAATCGGATTTCATTGGCCCAGACCTTAATACGTGCGCGGCATAACGAGCCAAAATAAACACTGGCAAAGAAAACATAATAAATAAAACAATTTGCATTAATTTGAAGTAAATCAGCGAAACCGCATAAACAGCTAAAAGTGCGGTTTGATTTATACAGTAGACATCAGTAACCATCCCACCCGTTGACTTTACAATTATTTTTTTTTTTTATATATTGTTAATTGTTATATAGGTAAGAGAAAGTATACCCGTACCCATCTATGAATACATTTTATTTAATATTTTGTACCTGAAAATTACACTTATTAAATACAGGCTGGAAAATAATTTAATTTAGGTGGTGTTTATTTCACTGTGCATCAATATAGCCATTTCCACTGTTAATGATTTGGCAAAGTGATTTAGTTAATTGCTTCGGTTTGCTCTGCTTGAACGCCCCGCTAACAAATGTTCTGCCCCTTCTCCACAGAATCGGTCATGAAGTGGTTTTTATTGTTCGTGGTGGCCCTTGGCCTGGGATTAGCCACGGCCGACTCCGACTCCGACTCCGCCTCCAGCTATAACTACTACCGCTTGCCGACTTCGTTGCGCCCCCAGAAGTACCACCTACGCATCCTGACACTGCTAGAAAACCCGGAGGACCTCCGTTTTACCGGCTCTGTCAAGATCCTGATTGAAGCCCTCGAAAACACCAAGAAACATAACGCTGCACTCGAAGAATCTGACCATCGACGAGTCGCAGATTACTCTTCGCCAGATCAGCGGTGAGGGGAAGAAGGATAACTGCGTGTCCTCCACGTTGGTGAATCCCACCCACGACTTCTATATCCTGAACACCTGTCAGGAGTTGGTGGCCGGCAATGTCTACGAGCTTTATATGCCCTTCTCCGCCGACTTGAACCGACAACTAGAGGGCTATTACCGCAGCTCCTACAAGGATCCAGTGGCCAACGTTACCAAGTGCGACTTGAATCCTTTACGATTAAAAGGGAAGGCAACTGACGGTTATCTCTTGTTTTCAGATGGATCTCCGTTACCCAGTTCGAACCAGCCTCGGCTCGATTGGCCTTCCCCTGCTTTGATGAACCAGACTTCAAGGCACCATTCGTGGTTACCTTGGGCTATCACAAGAAGTTCACGGGTCTCAGCAATATGCCCGTGAAGGAAACCAAGCCGCAGTAAGTAATAAAATATAAACTTATTTAGCTCAGAGATTCGAGAACAAAGAAATCTCACACCCTACCAATCCCTCATTAGGATTTTTATAACTACAACCTCTCACTTTCAGCGAAACCCTTGCCGATTATATATGGTGCGAGTTCCAGGAGTCGGTGCCGATGTCCACCTACCTGATCGCCTATTCCGTGAACGATTTCTCCCACAAGCCGTCGACTCTGCCAAATAGCGCTCTTTTCCGGACTTGGGCAAGGCCAAATGCCATCGATCAGTGTGATTATGCCGCTGAGTTTGGACCCAAAGTATTGCAGTACTACGAGCAGTTCTTCGGCATCAAGTTTCCGCTCCCGAAGATCGATCAGATCGCAGTGCCCGATTTCAGTGCTGGTGCCATGGAGAACTGGGGTCTGGTGACCTACAGGGAGATCGCCCTCCTCTACTCGGCTGCCCATTCTTCGTTGGCGGACAAACAACGGGTGGCCAGCGTGGTGGCCCATGAGTTGGCCCACCAGTGGTTTGGCAATCTGGTCACCATGAAGTGGTGGACTGACCTCTGGCTCAACGAGGGATTCGCCACCTATGTGGCCAGTTTGGGTGTGGAGAACATCAATCCGGAGTGGCGTTCGATGGAACAGGAGTCGCTATCGAATCTGCTGACCATTTTCCGTCGAGACGCTTTGGAGAGCAGTCATCCGATCTCGAGACCCATTCAAATGGTGTCGGAGATTTCGGAGAGCTTCGATCAGATCTCCTACCAGAAGGGATCCACAGTGCTGCGCATGATGCACTTGTTCCTGGGCGAGGAGTCCTTCCGCTCTGGACTGCAGTCCTATCTGCAGCAGTACTCTTACAAGAATGCCGAACAGGATAATCTGTGGGAGTCACTTACCCAGGCAGCCCACAAGTATCGCGCTCTGCCCAAGAGCTATGACATCAAGAGCATCATGGACTCGTGGACACTGCAGACAGGGTAAGTTTATGAGAGTTTCTTATGTTATTACAAGGTAATATGGGTAATATAAAACAAAAACCATAACTATCTGCTTCATTACAGCTACCCCGTGATCAATGTTACCCGGGATTACTCTGCCAGGACTGCGAAACTCAGCCAGGAGCGTTACCTCTTGAATACCCAGATATCCCGGGCTCATCGTGGTGGATGTTGGTGGGTTCCACTGAGCTACACCACCCAGGCGGTGCAGGACTTCAATAACACGGCACCCAAGGCCTGGATGGAGTGTGGCAAGAAAGGCGAGAGTCTGCCCAAAACCATTCAGGAGCTGCCAGGACCCGATCAGTGGGTGATCTTCAACACCCAACTGTCGACGCTCTACAAGGTCAACTACGATGCCCAGAACTGGAAGCTGCTGATCGAGACTTTGACCACTGGCGACTTCGAACGCATCCATGTGATCAATCGGGCTCAGCTGATCGATGATGCCTTGTACTTGGCCTGGACCGGGGAGCAGGACTACGAGATTGCCATGAGATTGATTGAGTATCTGCAGCGGGAGCGAGAGTATCTGCCCTGGAAGTCGGCCTTCGAGAATCTGAAGCGAGTGGGGCGCATTGTCCGTCAGACTCCCGATTTTGAGTTCTTCAAGGTAGGTTCTGGTGTTTTAAATTGTATAAAAGATTGTCTACAATTTCCCCCCGGTATAACCTCATTCTCATTTGTATTTCGAATCGAACCTTTCAAAATTGCTCACAACTAACACCATCCACTCAAAACACTTGCCATGGGTATCCAACGAAAAGTTGTTCTTTGTCGTAAGTCTGAGTGTGTCGTAAAAACAAGTAAGAATGATATGGTCGGGTCCGTCGACTTTAAGACACCCGGCACTCGAAATCATGTAAACAAACTAATAGAAATAAATTATAAAGTGAAATGTAGTCTGTTATTATTAAGGCTACAATTATATATTTTATTTAAAACCCAGGTTTAGATTTACTACAAAAAAGGTAATACAGTAGAATCCGGTTATAACGACTCCGCTTATAGTGTCCGTCTGGTTAATGCGTCGAAAACTCCATGGTTGGTCCCCATACAAACTTATATGATACAAACTTATATGGTTATAACGGCGTAAAATCTTCGGTCCCTTGAAAGTCGCTATAGCCGGATTCTACTGTACGTTTATTTGATAAGTAATAATATTACAAAAGGGAGTATACATGAAGGTTAATACCCTTTAAAGCAATACCTTTTTATAACCTTGCAGAGTGTATTATAATTTCAGTCAAAAGTTTTCAACGCAGTGAAGGAGACATTTCCGACCCTATAAAGTATTTATATATTTGAATTTATAAAAGAATGAAATAATTATTTAATTTGCTTTGCGAGTGTCGGGTATGTGAACTTAAAATAGAGACCTACATATATGTATTTAATGAACCCTAAATGGACCTAATAATGATTGCCACTTCAAAACCATCGTCCACAGCGCTACATGAAGAAACTGATCTTGCCGATCTACGAGCACCTTGATGGCATTAATGACACATTCAGCTCGATTCCTCAGCAGGACAAGGTCCTTTTGAAGACCATGGTGGTCAATTGGGCGTGCCAGTACCAGGTGGCAGATTGTGTGCCCCAGGCCTTGGCATACTACCGCAACTGGAGATCGGAGGCTAATCCCGACGAGAAGAACCCAGTGCCCATCAATGTGCGCAGCACTGTTTACTGCACCTCGATAAAACATGGATCCGATGCTGATTGGGAGTTCCTGTGGACGCGGTACAAGAAGTCGAATGTGGCGGCCGAAAAGCGTACCATTTTGACGGCCTTGGGTTGCTCGAGGGAGGTATGGCTGTTGCAGCGTTATCTGGAGCTAACCTTTGACCCCAAGGAGGCCATTCGCAAGCAGGACTCGATGTGGGCCTTCCAGGCGGTGGCCTTCAACGAGGTGGGCTTCTTGCTGGCCAAGAAATATTTCATGGATAACGTAGACTTTATCTACAAGTTGTAAGTTTGGAGATTGACGGTGAATGGTATCCTTACTGAGAGATCTCTGCTTTTCAGCTACCATCCGCTCACCAAGGACATGTCGCGACTTCTGTCGCCGCTTTCCGAACAGGTCATCACTCTGAGCGACTTTAATGAGTTCAAGGACTTCGTCAACAACTCCCGGCAGTCGCTCAAAGGTCTCGAGCAGGCCATCCAGCAGACCCTGGAGATTATGCTCACCAATGTGCAGTGGAAGGAGCGTAACTACCACCAGATGTCCCGCTCCATCCAGCAGCTCCTCTAGATTACTTACTACAGTCTCTCATCAGCTCATTAAGAAAAGAATCTCTTGATTTCAGCAGGAATATTATGAATGTTTAAAGTCCCTCAAATAAACTATTTAACGCTCTAGTATTATTCGTGTATCTCAAGATTAATGACTTTTAATTTGGAAAAGGGGAAACACTGTTGTTTTGTTGTTGTGGAAAGGGGAAATACAATTCATTAAAATCCAATTTTTAGAAAAAATTCATTGTTATACCCTTGCAGAGGGTATTATAATTTTGGTCAAAAGTGTGCAACGCAGTGAAGGAGACATCTCCGACCCTATAAAGTATATATATTCTTGATATTCTTGAACTTTGCACACACCCTTCTATATCCTATAGCTGCCATATAACTGAACGATTGGAAATGCCATAACTTTGGTGTTTTTAAAGTTAGGAAGTTGGGATTTTTTATGAGTATTAAGAATGCATCAAATGAATAATTTTGGAGAATATAATTTACAGAGTATTCTGCAAGGGTATATCAACTTCGGCTCCGCCCGAAGTTAGCTTTCCTTTCTTGTTTTTTATTTAATTTTCTTTGGCTAATACCATACAAATCAACTTTCAATACTAAGATGGCAAAAACTAATTTAATTTTATATAAAACGTGACGACTAGTGTGCATGTAAAATTATTTCACTATTAAATCATTTAATTATAATCAAAAGTGGAATACTATTTTGTTCCGAAATCTATTTATATTTTCCTATAAACCATTTTATAAACTTGGCTATTAAGAAGAAATATTGCGTATACGCCGGGTAAGCACCGTTTTTGCTTCTTTGCAGCATATATATATGAGCTATGATTCTCCACGCCGCTGCCAAAGCTAATCTCTTAAATTTCAGAGCTAATCTCGCCTTTTGGTTTCTATAAACACAATTCTCTCCGGAAATTACATGCTCGGTTCGATCGTCGAACTAGCCGCATTCGGTCACCGTCCGCTGGTGAGTTGAGTTGTGCCACTGGTTGTGGTCGTTTTGTTTGGTTTTTTGTTCTAAATAAACAAATAAGTCGTGAAATTGGAGAGCAGTACCAAAAAACACGTTCCAAAAGTAAGCTTAAACATTTTAAGTGATTTAAGTGCAAATAGAGAAACTCGTTTGTTGTGTTCTCTTGCCATTTCTGAACTCTGATCTAAAACATTGACAGCGGTTAAGCAATTCCTCATAATTTATCACAGCTTGGTGCGAACTAATTGTAACATCGGTTAAAATGGTAAACGAGTTTTTTTTTTATATAAAACCCTTTATTTGGAAACAATAACAATGATTTATTTATTTAAGATTTATTCAAGAAACAATAACATTATAATCCGATGAACAATAACAAAATCTGGCTTGAGCTTAAAATCAAGAGTTCAGATTTTAGTTTCTGATAAGGTTCTTTCGATAAGCCACATGAATGAAAAAATGTTCTAGTTAACGCAAGGCAAATGTTTTGATAATTTCCAATTCATAACTAACAATTTTTTCAATAAATATCGACACTTTTTCCACCTATATGATAATTATAGGAGTTCATTGAACGTATATAATTATGTTTACGATCGGTTTTATAGTTGATATTTGTAAAACTAATAAAAAAATTAACTGTAAATAATTCGCTAAAGTATATATTTGATTTGATGTCTTTCGCTATGCCTGAACTATAAATGTTAACTATTTTTGCCCACAGATTCGGTTATGAAGTTTTTTTTATTCTCCGTGTTGGCAATTGGCCTGGGCTTAGCTACGGTCGATTCGGTTTCCAGCTATAATTACTATCGACTGCCGACCACCTTACGACCACAAAAGTATTACTTGCGTGTCCTGACACTGCTCGAAAATCCGGAGGATCTCCGCTTCGCAGGCACAGTAAAAATCCTAATTGAAGCCCTGCAGAACACCAGGAACATAACGCTACACTCGAAGAATCTGACCATCGATGAGTCCCAGATAACTCTTCGCCAGATTGGTGGTGAGGGAAGGAAGGAAAATTGCGTGTCCTCGACGTCGGTCAATCCCTCCAATGACTATTTTATTCTTAACACCTGCCAGGAACTGGTGGCCGGCAATGTCTACAAACTGAGCTTGCCCTTCTCCGCCGATTTAAGTCGACCATTGACTGGTTACTATCGCAGCTCTTACAAGGATCCCGAAGCCAATGTGACGCGGTGGGTTCTGATCCTTAATCTTTACACTAGTGTGTGCTAAAACTGTTACTCCCGTTTTAGGTGGTTGTCTGCTACCCAATTTGAACCGGCTTTGGCTCGAAAGGCTTTCCCTTGCTTCGATGAGCCTGGTTATAAGGCGTCCTTCGTGGTCACTCTGGGATATCACAAAAATTATACTGGTCTCAGCAATATGCCGGTGAAGGCAACTAAGCCACAGTAAGTTTTTTATACTTAAGTATTAAAATGATTATAGCATAATAACCCATTTACAGTGAGACCCTTCCCAACTACATTTGGTGCGAGTTCCAAGAGTCGGTTCCGATGTCCACCTACCTGGTGGCATACTCCGTAAACCAATTCTCCAACAAGCCATCGACTTTGCCGAATGGCGCTCTTTTCCGGACTTGGGCAAGGCCAAATGCCATCGATCAGTGTGATTATGCAGCGGAGTTTGGACCTAAAGTATTGCAGTACTATGAGGAGTTATTTGGGATTAAGTTCCCCCTTCCAAAGATCGATCAGATCGCCCTGCCTGACTTTAGTGCTGGTGCCATGGAAAACTGGGGTCTGGTGACTTATAGGGAGTCCACTCTGCTTTTCTCGGCCAACCACTCTTCTTCGGCCGACAAACAGTTCCTGGCTAATGTAGTGGCCCATGAGTTGGCCCACCAGTGGTTCGGCAACCTGGTCACGATGAACTGGTGGACTGACCTCTGGCTCAACGAGGGATTTGCCACTTATGTGGGCAGCTTGGGTGTGAACGAAATCTATCCCGAATGGAACTCAAAGGACAGGCGATCGCTTTCCTCTCTGTTGGCCTCCTTCCATCTGGATGCCCTGGCCAGCAGCCACCCCGTATCAAGGCCCATTGAAAAGGTGTCGGAGATCGAGGAGAGCTTCGATACAATCTCTTACCAGAAGGGATCTTCGGTGCTGCGCATGATGCACCTCTTCCTAGGCGAGGAGTCCTTTCGCTCCGGTCTTAAATCGTATCTAGAACGGTACGCCTATAAGAACGCCGATCAAGATAATCTTTGGGAGGCATTTACTCAAGCTGCCCACAGGAATGGAGCCCTTCCCAAGGACTACGAAATCAAGACGATCATGGACTCTTGGACCTTACAAACAGGGTAGGTGCTTCCATTAATCTATGTATTTTTATGTTGATAAGAAGTTCTTGAATAATTTATTTTTTTATTTTCTTTAAGCTATCCAGTGCTTAATGTGACCCGTGACTATATGGCAAGAACCGCGAAACTCAGCCAGGAACGCTACCTTCGCAATACCCAACTATCCCCAGATCTGCATGTTGGCTGTTGGTGGTTGCCATTGAGTTACACCTCCAAGGCGGAAATGATGTTTATGAACACTGCCCCCAAATCATGGATGGAGTGCAGCAAAGCCGGGGAGAGTCTTTCCAAGACGATCCAGGATCTGCCTAGCTCCGATAAGTGGGTGATCTTTAACATCCAGTTGGCATCGCCGTATAGGGTCAACTACGATAACCAGAACTGGAAGCTTTTGATTGAGACTTTGAACAGCGAGGACTACCAGAGCATCCACGTGATCAATAGGGCTCAACTTATAGACGATGTCATGAACCTCGCCTGGACAGGAGAGCAGGACTACGAGACCGCACTTCAAGTCACCAATTACCTGCAGAAGGAGAGAGAGATCCTTCCCTGGAAACCGGCATTCGACCAATTAAAGCTGTTGAATCGCATTCTTCGACAAACCCCCAACTTTGGGTTCTTTAAAGTAGGTTTTAAATAATTTTCACGATGATTAACCTTTCTATTGTAAATCTTCAGCGCTATATGAAAAAGCTCCTTACCCCAATCTACGAGCACCTGAACGGCCTGAACGACACATTCAGTTCGATCCAGGAGCAGGATGAGATCCTTTTAAAAACGACGGTGGTTAGTTGGGCGTGTCAGTACCAGGTGGCAGACTGTGTTCCTCGGGCGCAGGAATATTTCCGCAGGTGGAGAGCCGAGGCCAATCCCGACGAGAACAACCCGGTTCCAGTGAACTTTCGTACCACCGTGTACTGCTCCGCAATAAGATATGGCACTGATGAGGATTGGGAGTTCCTGTGGACGCGGTACAAAAAGTCAAATGTCGACTCCGAGAAACAGACCATTCTGACTACCTTGGGTTGCTCGAAAGAAGTTTGGATCTTGCAGCGTTATCTGGAGATGGCCTTCGATTCAAAGGGGGCAATCCGCAAGCAGGATTCTTCACTGTGTTTCCAAGCTGTGGCATCCGGACAGGTGGGCTTCTTATTGGCCAAGAAGTACTTAATTGACAATGTGGATTTTATCTATAAGTAGTAAGTTTAGCTATGGTTAGAAGAAGAAAGTAATGAAAAGTACTGTCTCATTTTTAGCTACTGTGCCGAGACCAAGACCATGGCTCGATTTTTTTCTCAAATTTCCGAGCAGGTTATTAGCATGCGTGACTTAAATGGATTTAAAGTATTCGTTAATAACTCGCGACAGTACCTCAAGGACGTCCATCAGGCGATTGAACAGACTTTGGAGACTATGCTTATCAACGTGCAGTGGATGGATCGGAACTATCACCAGTTGTCCCGCTCCATTCAGCGGCATTTGTAGAAATTCCAATCCACTTTTTAGTCCACATTTGTAGATTTTTCATTCCTCTTTTTATTAAATATTAACTTCTTAGCGTCAATAGGAAAATTATAAATAAACAGCATAATACTACAGTATTATACGTGTAGATCAAAAATAAATAACATTAATTTCTGAGTAGGGGGTACTTAGGCAAACGAAAATAATCTATATTTATGAATAAAGTTTCCAGCCCTCCTGGAAATTATCAATAAAATCTATTTCTGGAAGGAAAGACATTATAGACCATGTCAAATAAATAGGTTTTTGTTAAAATCGAATAATTACATATTTTCTTCTGATCTAAAGTTTCAAAACGTTTTACAACGTTCAATAAAAATATAATATAACCGATAGATTAAATACTCTGAAATACTCTGATTTAATCTATGCCTTTTCTCCCTCTTGTTCGGAAAATATTTTTACAAATTTATTGGGACCTTTACGATATTATCGAAAACTATTATTAGTTGTCCCGTTTCATCCAGAAACATTTTTAGATAATTATTTCAAATTTTCCATAAAATCACCAAAAGAATAATGTCAAAAGTAAAATTCTAACTACGTGGGTTACTTCAATAAACTAGGTAATACTACTTGAGATTAATAGATCACAACGAGGACGGAAGCTAACTTCGGCAAGCCGAAGTTTTAATACCCTTGCAGACTTTGCCGAAGTTGCTAAAACTGAAAAAGTAGCGAAAGGAATAAGATATACATAAATAAACTAGATTTGCGTCGTTTGATGTCAATTGCTTTTATACTGCAAAAATGTCATATAAAAATGGAAAAAAGGGATACTTTCGCAGCCTTTAACTATTTTTCCTACGGAAGCTATAAGAAATAGACGTCCGATCGGCAAGCGCTTTTACCCTAATCAAGATATGCGTAAATAAATAAGACTTGGAAAAATGTATGTCAGTAGCTTACACACTACGCGAAAAATTCAGAAAACCAACAAATTTGGACCGATTTCACCCTGTTGTTCTTATGGGAGCTGTAGGATATAGACGTCCGATCGTCACGTGCTTTTACCCTAATCAAGGTATGCATAAAAAAATACGATTTGGAAAGATTCATGTCAATTGCTTATATACTGTGCGAAATATCCTAAAAATCATTAAATTTTAACCGATTTCACCGTATTGTTCCTATGGGAGCTATAGGATATAGACGTCCGATCGCCAAGCGCTTTTACCCTGATCAAGGTATGCATAAAAAAATAAGATTTGGAAAGATTTATGTTAATAGCTTTTACACTGCGCGAAATATCTTCCATTCTTGAAAGTTATATCCGATTGTTCCTATGGGAGCTATAGGATATAGACGTCCGATCGCCACGCGCTTTTACCCTGATCAAGGTATGCATAAAAAAATACGATTTGGAAAGATTCATGTCAATAGCTTTTACACTGCGCGAAATATCATCAATTCTTGAAAGATATATCCGATTGTTCCTATGGGAGCCATAGGATATAGACGTCCGATCGGGGCGATTTTCAAACTTGATCTGCGTACACATGTTTTAGGACGAGTGTGAAAGTTTCAGATCGCTAGCTTTTAAACTGAGCTCGCAAACGGTATTGAAACAGACGGACAGACGGACAGACGGACAGACGGACATGGCTATATCAACTCAGGAGGTGATCCTGATCAAGAATATATATACTTTATAGGGTCGGAAACGTCTCCTTCACTGCGTTACAAACTTCTGACCAAAATTATAATACCCTCTGCAAGGGTATAATTATAGATTACACTTCTAAGTGGAAGTGGAGGCTTCTTATTAATTCGAGGATGGAGTCTCGTTTTAGTAATCCAATTTTCTCTCTCAAAACTCTAAGGTTATCGCTCTCCCTTCTCTCTTAAATAAACTCTCTCAGAAAAAAAATATATATTCGTCTCAATTGTCGAATAATCCGCATTCAATCTTTGAACTCCGTTATGTTCGGAGGTGAGTAGAACTATTTAAAGTGTGAAATATTTTTTTTTTGATAAAAAAAAAATATATATACCGCAAAGCAACATCGTAATTATATGTGTATACCTACACATATGCAAAATCGAACCGTTCCATTGAATTGTGTGGTTAGAATATAAATTGTTCTGGTTATCACTTTGTTTATCACTTTGTTTACTCAGTTAAATAATTTTCATTGGAAATAAAATGAAACTAAAAAAATATTAAGAGAACAAAATTTGCATGTTAATCTTAAGAACTATTAGAATAATAGTGTTTTGATGTATTTCATAGTACTATTTTTTTTATTAGCATTAACTTTTCTTAAAGGAAAAAAACCAATAATTTAATTAATGTTTGAGGATTTTAAAATTTGTAACTCCCAGAATCGAGAATGAGGTGGTTTCTATTGGTTGTGGTGTCCCTTGGACTCGGTTTAGTCACGGGAGAATCTAGCTATAACCATTATCGCTTGCCGACGGCTCTTCGACCCCAAAAGTATTACTTGAGAATCTTAACGCAGCTTGAAAATCCGGAGGATTTTCGCTTCAGCGGCAATGTGAAAATCATAATTGCAGCCCTGCAGAACACCAAGAACATAACGCTGCACTCTAAGGATCTGACCATAGATGAGACTCAAACCACGGTTAGACAAATTAGCGGCGAAGGGAAAACAAACAACTGCGTAACTTCCACGGCTGTGAATCCCACACACAACTTTTATACTCTCAACACCTGCCAAGAATTATTGGCTGGCCATGTTTATGAGCTGAATTTGCACTTTTCAGCCGAGTTAAACCGACAACTGGAAGGCTACTACCGTAGCTCCTATGTGGATCCGGTGGCCAATGAGACAAGGTGGGTCGATAGCATAAGCAAATATTGGATATTTTATTGATCCTTTTGCAGATGGATCTCTATTACCCAATTTGAGCCCGCTTCGGCTCGATTGGCATTCCCCAGCTTCGATGAGCCCGGCTATAAGGCACCCTTTGTGATCACTTTAGGTTATCACAAGAAGTACACCGGTCTCAGCAATATGCCCGTAAAGGAAACTAAAACACAGTAAATCATATTTTATAATTGATTTAAATAGGATTTCAATATTTATGTTGCATTTATTTTTCGCAGTGAATCACTTCCCGATTACATTTGGACCGAATTTCAAGAATCATTGCCAATGTCAACTTATCTGGTGGCATTTTCCGTTAACGATTTTTCCCACAAACCTTCTTCTCTGCCAAATGGCACTCTTTTCAGGACTTGGGCTAGGTCTTCTGCCGTCGATCAGTGTGATTATGCCGCAGAGTTTGGACCACAAGTAATCCAATACTACGAGCAGTTATTCGGGACTAAGTTGCCGCTTGCGAAGATCGATCAGCTCGCATTGCCCGACTTCAATATTGGTGCCATGGAAAATTGGGGTTTATTGACTTTTAGAGAAACTGCACTCCTATTCTCCCCTGAATTTTCCTCGCTGAAGGACAAACAAGAACTCTCTAATATCGTAGCTCATGAGTTGGCTCACCAGTGGTTCGGCAATCTGGTCACGATGAAATGGTGGACTGATCTGTGGCTTAAGGAGGGATTTGCCACCTATGTGGCTACTTTGGGCGTGGAGTACATCCATCCGGAGTGGCGTTCCAAGCAGCTGGAGTCGTTGTCCAACCTGCTAAACATTTTTCGAAAGGATTCTTTAGAGACCAGTCATCCCATTTCAAGGCCTATTGAAATGGTTTCGCAGATTACCGAGAGCTTCGATGAAATCTCGTATGAGAAAGGATCATCTGTACTCCGCATGATGCACTTATTCCTGGGGGAGGAGGCATTTCGCTCCGGCCTGAAGTCGTATCTAGAAAGGTTCGCTTATAGGAACGCCGAACAGGATGATCTTTGGGAGTCACTTACTCAAGCCGCCCATAAAACTGGCGCTCTAGCAAAGAACTTTGACATCAAGACCATCATGGACTCGTGGACGCTGCAAACCGGGTAAGTTAAATTTTTTTAAGAAGAGGAAGTGCAATATTAACGGTCGATTTTTCAGCTACCCAGTGATTACTGTTACGCGCGACTATACGGAAAGGACTGCAAAACTCAGTCAGGAGCGCTACCTTCTGAATACGGATATATCTAGGGTGCACCGCCGGGAATGTTGGTGGGTTCCACTTAGCTACACCACGCAGGCGGAGAAGGATTTCAACAACACGGCCCCCAAAGCATGGATGGAGTGCAGCCAGACTGGCGACAGACTTGAGAAAACTATTCAGGACCTTCCAGGACCCGATCAGTGGGTTATCTTCAATAATCAGCTGTCATCACCATACAAGGTCAACTACGATTCCCAGAACTGGAAACTTCTAATCAAGACCTTGAACAGCGAGGAGTTCCAGACCATTCACGTGATCAATAGAGCCCAAATTATAGACGACATTCTGTACCTTGCTTGGACGGGAGAACAAAACTACGATATCGCAGTACAAGTGATTAATTATTTGCAGAGGGAGCAAGAGCTGCTTCCCTGGAAAGCGGCGTTCGACAATCTTAAGCTATTGAATCGCATTGTGCGACAGACACCCAATTTTGAGTTCTTTAAGGTAGGCATTACTTGTACTCTTTGAAGATTTAAGTATAGTGGATCTACTTATTTGCAGAGCTACATGAAAAAACTCATCACACCTCTTTATGAGCACCTAAACGGCATTAACGACACATTCAGCTCGATTGAGCAGCAGGATCAGGTCCTTTTGAAGACAATGGTGGTCAATTGGGCGTGCCAGTACCAGGTGGCAGATTGTGTGCCTCAGGCCTTGGCCTACTACCGCAACTGGAGATCGGAGGCTAATCCCGACGAGAAGAACCCAGTGCCCATCAATGTGCGCAGTACTGTTTACTGCACCTCGATAAAACATGGATCAGATGAAGATTGGGAGTTTCTGTGGACGCGGTACAAGAAGTCAAATGTGGCGGCCGAAAAGCTTACCATTTTGACGGCTTTGGGTTGCTCGAGGGAGGTGTGGGTGTTGCAGCGTTATCTGGAGCTGACCTTTGTCCCCAAGGAGGGCATTCGCAAGCAGGACTCGAAGAGGGCGTTCCAGGCAGTGGCCCAAACCGAAGTGGGTTTCCTGCTGGCCAAGAAGTACTTTATGGACAATTTGGACTTTATAAGCAAGTTGTAAGTGGATCAATATTTTCAACTTATTTTACATACTGCTAAATTGTTTGAGGTGGTTTAGTGTTCAAATAAATATCTCATCTTATCTCCTTTTTATTTAGCTATCATCAACTTGTAAGAAGCATGGATCCTCTCCTAGAGTCCCTTCAATTGCAGGTCTTTATCCGGAAAGACTATAATGAGTTCAAGGACTTTGTATCCAATTCACAAGGATCTCTTAAGGGTTCGGAGAAGGCAATCCGACAGTCCTTGGAGACAATGTTGACCAACGTGCAGTGGAAAGAGCGAAACTATTACCAATTTATCCGTGCTATTCAACAGTATCTAAAAGCTGCCTAATATATTTTTTTTAACAAAAAAAGTATCTTCAAATTTCTTACGGCACCAAAAATAAAATTGAAAATATTTAAGAAATACAAAGATTATATTGCATAATGTCCAAAATCATGTAAAATACAACTAAGCTTATCAATTAATAATGTCGCTGATCTTATGAACTCTTAACGTAATCAAAGAATAAAAAA